TGCCTCACACCCTAAAAACAAGCAGTCACTACACCCAATACAGTAACGAAGTATTCATAAACATGTGATCAGTATACTTACAGTTAGGCAAGACCTAGGGAAAACTATCTCATTCTGGTGTGTTGCAGTATGATCAGGTAGAGTATGACAAAGAATCTTCAAATTCATCATTTTTATAGCCTTTAACAAACAAATGATGTCACTGCCAGATACTGACTTCAGTTAAAACCAATTTGAGACGGTTCACCCTTATTTTCAGTCTTAATCCAGATAAAATTGAGGGTATGTCTACACTGGCACTTCGTCGGGAAAACTTTTGTTGTTCAGGGGTGTTAAAAAAACACACACCCAAACGACAAAAGTTTTAATGGCGAAAAGCACTGGTGTGAACAGCATTTTGTCGGCAGGAGCACTCTCCTGCCAACAAAGCTGCTGCTTCTCACGGGGGGGGGGGGGTAGAAGTTTTTGACAGCAGGAGAACTCTCTCCTGCCAACAAACAGCAGCTACACTGCATGGCTTTTTGTTCATCAACATATTTATATTGGTTTATAGTTTTATCTTTTAGGATTTTACACATGTTTAACTCAGATGCAAAACGAAAAATCTGTGTCTTGCAAATCAACTCGGAATTGAGAACACTTACCACTACACCCTTATGTACTAGGAATTAATCTGTACATACAGACAGAGCCAGATTACACTTTTGTGGGGCCCTAGGCCAGAGCAAATGGGGGCTCCTCCCCACCCCTTCCACCTGCAGTCCCCTCCTACTCCCCCGGTGCTCCTGCTGGGGAAATGGGGTCGGGGCATGGGGGTCTTGCCTCGCCCGCCCGGTGCTCCTGCCAGGGAGCGGAAATTGGGGTGTAGGGGCTTGCAGGAGCACCAGGCGGGCGGAGCGGGGCAATCCCCAGCACCTGACCCCGTTCCCCAGCAGGAGCACCAGGCAGGTGGGTGGAAGAATAAATGGGTAGGAATAAATGGTAAATTTTCAGAATGGAGAGGGGTAACTAGTGGTGTTCCCCAAGGGTCAGTCCTAGGACCGATCCTATTCAACTTATTCATAAATGATCTGGAGAAAGCGGTAAAAAGTGAGGTGGCAAAGTTTGCAGATGATACTAAATTGCTCAAGATAGTTAAGACCAAAGCAGACTGTGAAGAACTTGAAAAAGATCTCACAAAACTAAGTGATTGGGAAACAAAATGGCAAATGAAATTTAATGTGGATAAATGTAAAGTAATGCACATTGGAAAAAATAACCCCAACTATACCTACAATATGATGGGGACTAATTTAGCTACAAATAAACAGGAAAAAGAACCT